TTACAAAGTATTGAGTTGTATTTTTGTTATTGACCAAATACTTATTTTCCACCCTGATTTACGAATAAATTCTTTACAAATCCTACCATGTTGATTCATGGATTTTTTTTTTCACATTCTGTCTCTCACAGTTGAAGCGTACCTCTGGTGCAAATTACTGACCTCTCTCATCATTTTAGGTGGGGGGACTTGCACAATCGGTGGCTGACTAAATACTTTTTTGCCCCACTGTAGATGTGATTTGACTGGCTGTATCATATAGTAGTTCTCAAAGTGTGACCTTAATTGACCTCCACTGCTACATAAACTGAGGTTGCTCATGTTAACTGAAAGTAAACGACAAACTTGGTTCCAAAAAAAGTTGAGACAGTGTGTAAATTGTAAAGTAAAAGGGAAATCTAATGATTTGTGAATCTCATTAACTCATATTTGCAATCTGTGTTTAGATATTTAGAAAATGTACCATTTCATTCATATATAAGTATTATTGATAGTAAGGCAACAGCTAGAATAATGGATAGATACTTTATTAATCCCACAAAGGAAATTTTTGTGTTGTAAGCACGTATTCTGCTGATCATTCTTTTCATTGAGATACAGGTCTTGATGAAATGTTCACTGGTTTAGGTGTTAGAAATTGCAATGTTTTTAGTAGTTTACTGTAGTGCGAAAAAGTTTTTGCCCCCTTCCTCATTTCCTACTTTTTTGTATGTTTGTAACATTTAATTCTTATAGATCAAACACATTTAAATACTAGACAAAGACAATACAATTAAACTCAAAATACAGTTTCTAAATGAAGGGTTTACTATTAAGGGGGGAAAAAATCCAAACCTACATGGTCCTGTTCCTGTGTGAAAAAGTGATCGCCCCCCCTAAGCCTAGTAACTAGTTGGGCTGCCCTAACTGGCAATGAGTCTTTTACAGTTCTGTGGAGGAATTTTGGTCCACTAATCTTTTGAGAATGGTTGTAATTCAGACAGATTGGAGGATTTTCAAACATGAACCGCCTTTTTAAGGTGACCCACTGGATGCTCCTCATTTGAATCAGCCCTGCTTGCCACAGGTATCACTGTTCAATATTTATATAGCACCATACCACAACAGTTGCGTTAAGGTGCTTTATATTGTAATGGAAAGACTACAGCAATCACTGCCAAATAAAGCAAGATAGCTGCCAACAACCTTCAGCAAGCAGAAGAATTTAAATAATGTGTCACCTGGACACATACATAGGAATGGGTATTGATAAGATTTTCACAATTCCGATTCCATTTTCGATTCTGTTTAACGATTTGATCCTTTATCAATTCTCTTATCGATTCTTTTTTTAAAAAAAAGGAGAACACTAAGGTCGATTTGCTTAGAACTTTGTTTTATATCTTCTCTTTGAACAAGATAGAAATTTAGGAGTAACATGGCCTTACAAACCCA